GCATGGCAGGCTGCACTGGCCTTGGGGCACCTGGGCACCTTTCCGTGTCCCCTTGGCCCCTCTCCCTGCCCTGCCCCTTTGGAGCAGGTGGTGTCATGTGTTCTCAGATGCCAGTCCTATTTTTGGAGCTTGTGTTGATTCCAAAACGGGCACGTGGGTTGGACGAGGGTAAGTGCAGACCATGCTAGAATCGTGTCAGCTGTGGTGGCCGCCAGCTTTGACCTGCGCTGCTAGAACCAGTGTAGACTCTGGCCTCAGAGTGCTTGCTCTTGAGCTTGGGGGGCCCCCTCCCGCTGCTTTTCCCAGCTCTGCACCTCAGGAGGACCCCTGCAGGGCAAAGGAAACCCCAACCCCTCAGCCCAGGGTCCACGCTGGCTCTGGGGACAGCAAAGTTTAGTGAGTCAGCCTGGCCTGGGGACTCTGGCATCTGGTTGTGAGTCCTCCCCTCCTGAAAGGAGCAGTGTCATGGAACCCAGCCTGACCTCCAGCCTGTGTCCCCTGCCTGGGATACTAGAGAAGTGACAAGGAAGTGCTCCCAAGTGCTCTTTCTGTAGCACCCATCAGTTTTCATGATGACCCTGTACCCTTAGGCCCTGAGAGGTTTGCACCAGGCAGAGGGCTCAAGTCTGTGTTGTCACTGCCTGGGTTACATAGCTCAAAAAAACAAAACAAGCCAGACACTGGTGGTTCACGCCTATAATCCTAGCTACTCAGGAGGTAGAGATCAGGAGGATTGAGGTTGGAGGCCAGCAGGGGCAAACAGTTTACAAGACCCTATCTAGAAAAAAACCCATCACAAAAAAATGTCTGGCAGACTGACTCAAGGTATAGGCCCTGAGTTAAAACCCCAATACCACAAAAAAACCCAACAGCAGGGTAAAGTGGTGCACGCCTGGTATCCTAGCTACTTGGGAGGCACAGGTAGGAGGATGGAGGTCTGAGGCCAGCCTGGGCAGAAAGTGTGAGAAGACCTTACGTGAAAAATAAGCTAAAGCAAAAAGGGCTGGTGGCACAGTTCACATGGTAAAATCCCTAGCAAGTGCAAGGCTGAGTTCAAACCCCAGTACTGTCCCCATATGTAATAAAATATATTCAGATGTGAAGTGAGTACCTTACTTAAACTACCTACATGTTTACTTATGGAATGTCCTATGTAGCTGTACACAGAATTATATAATTAAATATACACATTTTTTTTTTTTTGGTAAGCCTGGGGTTTTAACTCAGGACTTCACGCTGCTCGAGCCACCACGTTCAGTATTTATACAATAAAATTATATATCCACATGCACATACGTTTCGGAAGTATCAGCTATGTACGTGTGTGGATACACACAGTGTACACACATATACACAGAGAAAGCCACTCTGGGAAAGCAGCTTTGCTGAGATGCAATTCGCCTACGGTTCTGCATTCGAAGTGTATTCACAGCCTTGCGCAGCCATCAGCCTTTCAGGACATTCTCCCCTGGGCCCTCTTTCCTTAGCCTCCCCGGCCCAGGGCGCCCACTAATCTACTTCTGCCCCTGGGGGCTTTGGCGTCGATGGGAGCGTACAGCCTGTGATCTTTTGGGTCTGGCTTCTTTCTCGCAGCGCCACATTTCCAAGGCTCGCTTCGATGGACACTGGGCTGTGTCTACGTTGGGGTTCTTTTCAGGACTCTGTGAGCATTGATGGGCTAGGTTTTCCGTGGCTCCATCTTTTCGTCTCTCCGGAGTACACACTAGGAGTGGGACTGCTGGCTCACTGAGGACCTGCCAGGCTGCTGGCCCCACAGCAGGGCACACAGGAGCCCCAGCTGCTCCACTCTACCCGCACAGCACTTGCCGCCCTCTCCCTTCCTTGGCACAGGCACCCTGGGGTGCGCGATGCACCTCACTGCGGTCCTGCTTGTGTTGTCATGACTAACGATGTCGCAGCTTTTAGTGTCTTGCTGGCCACTGGCGGTTATCACGTTTGGAGAAATGTCATTTCGGATCGTCTGCCCATTTTAAAATTGGTTTCTCTTAATGGGTGGGATCTAATTTGTATATTGTAGATGTCTCATTCGTGTACAGATTCAGGTATGAAATGTCAAAGCACAAAAGCCTTGAATTTTGGAAAAGTCCATCTTGTTTTTTCTTTTATTTGTGCTTTTGGTGTCATTACTAAGAAATGATGTCCTAACTCAAGGTCATAAAGATTTTCTCCCGTGTGTTTTCATTTTGTGGTGCTGGGGATGGACCCCAGAGCCAAGCCCACGCAGGGCAGTTGGTCTTCCTCTGGGTGATGTCCCCAGTCCTTCCTGTGTTTTCTGGTAATTGTTGTACAGCTGCAGCTCTTACATCCGGCTGTTTGTTCCATTTTGAGTTAATTTTTGTATGTGGCATGGGTTCAAGTCCAGTTTTATCCCTCTGCATGTGGGTGTCCAGTTGTTCCAGCACCATTAGTCAAAAAGAGTATTACCCCCCAGCCGTCTTGACTTCCATGTTAAAAATCAATTGATGCTGGACATCGTGGCACAAGTCTATAATCTCAACTCGTGGGAGGCTGTGGCAGGGGAATTTTGAGTTCAAGGCCAGCGTAGGTGACATAAAAATCAATTCCCTGTAAAGTGGGTGTATATCCAGCCTTTCAATTCTGTTCCAATGTATATCTGTCCTTATATGCAAGTTCCACACTGCTTTGTTCACTGTACCTTGTAATAGGTTTTGAAACTAGAAAGTATGAGTCTTCCATTTTACTCTTTGTGTGTGTGTGTGTGTGTGTGTGTGTGTGTGGCAGTATTGGGATTTGAACTCAGGACCTTACGCTTGCTAAGCAGATGCTCTACCACTTGAGCCATGCCCCAGCCCCCACTTTTATTCTTCTTCAGGATTGTTTTGGCTACTCTAGGTCCCTTTCCTTTGCAGTGAACATTAAAAGCAGCTTGTCAGTATCTGCAACGTGAATAGCTTTCATCAGATCTGTAGCTCAGTTTTCAGAGTACTGGCATCGTTTTCTTTTTTTTTTCCTCCATTTTTTTTTCATTTTTCTTTTATTATTCATATGTGCATACAAGGCTTGGTTCATTTCTCCCCCCTGCCCCCACCCCCTCCCTTACCACCCACTCCGCCCCCTCCCTCTCTCCCCCCTCAATACCCAGCAGAAACTATTTTGCCCTTATTTCTAATTTTGTTGAAGAGAGAGTATAAGCAATAATAGGAAGGAACAAGGGTTTTTGCTGGTTGAGATAAGGATAGCTATACAGGGTGTTGACTCACATTGATTTCCTGTGCGTGGGTGTTACCTTCTAGGTTAATTCTTTTTGATCTCACCTTTTCTCTAGTTCCTGGTCCCCTTTTCCTATTGGCCTCAGTTGCTTTAAGGTATCTGCTTTAGCTTCTCTGCATTGAGGGCAACAAATGCTAGCTAGTTTTTTAGGTGTCTTACCTATCCTCACCCCTCCCTTGTGTGCTCTCGCTTTTATCATGTGCTCATAGTCCAATCCCCTTGTTGTGTTTGCCCTTGATCTAATATCCACATATGAGGGAGAACATACGATTTTTGGTCTTTTGAGCCAGGCTAACCTCACTCAGAATGATGTTCTCCAATTCCATCCATTTACCAGCGAATGATAACATTTCGTTCTTCTTCATGGCTGCATAAAATTCCATTGTGTATAGATACCACATTTTCTTAATCCATTCGTCAGTGCTGGGGCATCTTGGCTGTTTCCATAACTTGGCTATTGTGAATAGTGCCTCAATAAACATGGATGTGCAGGTGCCTCTGGAGTAACAGTCTTTTGGGTATATCCCCAAGAGTGGTATTGCTGGATCAAATAGTAGATCAATGTCCAGCTTTTTAAGTAGCCTCCAAATTTTTTTCCAGAGTGGTTGTACTAGTCTACATTCCCACCAACAGTGTAAGAGGGTTCCTTTTTCCCCGCATCCTCGCCAACACCTGTTGTTGGTGGTGTTGCTGATGAGGCTATTCTAACAGGGGTGAGGTGGAATCTTAGCGTGGTTTTAATTTGCATTTCCTTTATTGCTAGAGATGATGAGCATTTTTTCATGTGTTTTCTGGCCATTTGAATTTCTTCTTTTGAGAGAGTTCTGTTTAGTTCACGACTGGCATTGTTTTCAGAGTACTGGCATCGCAACAAATCCATCTCCCCATCCATGAACATGGGCTCTCTTTCCGTTCATACAAGTCTTCCCTAACTTCCTCCAGCCATACTTTGTTATTTTCAGAGTGTAAGTTTTTTACTTCCTTTACTAAATGTATTCCTAAGTATTCTTTTTGGTGTTACTGTAAATAGAATTGTCTTTTTCAGATTTCATTTTCAGTTTGCTCATTGGTGGTATACAGGAATGTGACTGATTTTTTTTTATTGCTCTTAAATCTTGCAATCACACTGAACTTATTTATTATTGGCTGTAATCAAGCGTGTGTGTGTGTGTGTGTGTGTGTGTGTGTGTGTGTAGGACTTCCTGTGTATCATGTCATCTGCAGTGGGAGCGCTTTTGTTCCTTTTCAACTGGATACCTTTTCTTTCTTTTACTTGTGGAACTGCTTGGGCTAAAACCTGCAGTACAGTATGGATCAGAAGCCAGGGGAGCTGACATCCTGTCTTGTTTCTGATTTTAGGGGCAAAGCACTCAGTCTTTCACCCTTGAGTTTCATGTTCGCTGTGGGTGTTTACTGAGTGTTAAGTATTTTTATCATGAAGAGGCGCTGATTTCCTTAAATACTTTTTCTGAGACACGCCTTCTTATATAAGGTCCCTGGAGTCTCCAGTCTTCCTTCTGGGGATGAAAACGAATGTGGAGCCCAAACCTTATCTGCCCAACCATTGCCTGGCCCTTCTGTATCACTGCTGGAGAAGGTGGCCTCGGGAGGTGTCTGTGACAATACCTGGGGCGCCCTGCCCTGCCCTGGGTGGCTGTCTCAGGGGTGGGACCCCCAGCCCTGCAGGGTTGCAGAGGGTGGTGCGGGGCAGGGGTCCCTACCTTCACCCACTCGCGCTCGGTCCCCAGGCCTACGAGAAGCGCTTCCCCACCTGCCCGCTGATCCCCGTCTTCCTGGGCAGCGAGGTCCTGCGCGAGTCCCGCAGCGCGGACGGCGCGCAGCACGTGGTGGAGCGGCGTTGCCGGCTGCACGTGGATGCCCCGCGGCTGCTGCGCAAGGTGCGCGGGTGGGACCGGGGCGGGAGGTGGGGTGGCGTCGGCGTGGCTGTGGGGTGCCGGGTTTCTTGCGTGGATGGAGGTCAAGTTCAGGAGGGACCGGGCTGGCGAGGGGCCTGGGGTGCAGGGTGGGCGGGGACGCGAGGGTTTGAGGCAGGGCTGGGTGGTGGAGGTGACAGGGTGGGCGGCAGGGCAGGATTCGGGGGTTTGGGGCGGGGTGACCTGGGCCGGGCTGGCTGGCGGGGAAGCTAGGACTCGGGGTGCGGGTCGGGGTGACCTGCGTGGGGCTGGGTGACCCTCGCGTGGGCCCCCCGCTCACCCGGTTCCCCCGCCGCTGTCCCCGCAGATGGCGGGCGTGGAGCACGTGGTGTTCGTGCAGAGGAACGAGCTGAACCGGAGGGCGAGGACGCTGCACATCGAGGCGCACAATGAGACCTTCGCCAGCCGCGTGCAGGTCACCGAGAGCTGCAGTTACACGGTGCGCCACCGCCACCTCGCGCCACCCGGTGTCCCCGGCCCTTCCCGCCCTGCTGCGCTGATGCTACAGCTCAGATCAGCAACCGATTTGCTTTCTCAGTATAAACTGCGTGTCTCCAATACTCCTCGGGATGATCTCAAAGAGACTTTTTTTGGGCAGCGTTTGAACCCAGGGTGTCACTCTTGCTAGGCAGGCGCTCTGCCTCTTGCGCCACTCCACCCACAACCTGGTCATCTGCAATTCAGATGTGACAGAATCTGATATCCCTGTCCTTCCCCTCTTTTCCCCTCGCCTCCTTTCGTGAAACTGCGCCTCAGTTTCCCCATTTGTAAAGTGGGGCTAAATCACTGTACCTACAACATAGGCAATGTATCTTTATATATAAATGTAAAATATAAAAACTTTTGCTCAGGAGGAGGAGGTAGAAGGGTCAGGGTTCAAGGACAGCCTGGGCAAAGTTAACAAGAGAGTCTATCTAAAATACAAACTAAGGTCAGTGGCCCAGCAATGTGCAAGGCCCTGGCTCAATCTCCAGTACAGAAAGAAAAATCTAACTAAATAAGAAACAAAAAAATCTAAAGCATATTATAATATTGATATATGTTATTAATTTTTTTTTGAGGTACTGGCGTTTGAACTCAGGACCTTGAGCCACTCCACCAGCCCTTTTTTGTGATGGGTTTTTTCAAGATAAGGTCTTGGGAGCTCTTTTGCCTGGGCTGGCTTCGAACCATGATCCTCTTGATCTCTGCTTCCTGAGTAGCTAGGATTACAGGTGTGAGCCACTGGTGTCTGACTTGATATGTAATTTACATATTATATTATAGAAATACATACTATACTAAACATATTACTTATACATGAGTCTGTATATAGTTTTTGATTTTGCCATACTGGGGATTGAACCCAGGACCTCACACATGCTAGGCAAGTGCTATACCACTGACTTCTGCCCCCCTCTTCCCCCACCCCCACATTTTTTTTTGGTGGAACTGGGATTTGAAACCAGGGCTTCATGCTTGCAAAGCAAGAGCTCTATCACTTGAGCCACACCTCCAGTCTATTTTGCTCTGGTTATTTTGGAGATGGGGTCTGGAGAACTATTTGCCGGTACTCGCCTTGAACCCCAGTTCTCCTGATTTCAGCTTCCCAAGTAGCTAGGATTACAGGCGTGAACCACTGGTACCTGATAACCCTTTTGTTTTTATTCTGGTTTTGGGACAGTCTTGCAAACTTTGCCCAGGCTGGCCTTGAACCTCCGTTTGAGGTTGTCCTGTCTCCATCTCCCAAGTAGCTGGGAATATAGGTGTGAGCCTCCAGGCCCAGGGTGAGGCACACAGATATCAGACCCACCTTCCCTGAGACCTCCCTTAAGGGCTCTTTGTTTCCTCCCAGACTTTGCATGGTCCTGTGGGTGGGGCCCTTTGTTGTTACCAGGATGGGCCACATTGTGCACTGTAGGCTGTGCCTGGGCCTGGGTCACTGGGAAAGCCCTTGGGAGGGTCATGCCGTCCCCACAGTAAGACCCTGCATCACCTTGCCTGGCTTTCAGGTCCACCCTGAGAATGAAGAGTGGACTTGCTTCGAGCAGTCGGCCTCGCTGGACATCCACTCCTTCTTCGGCTTTGAAAATGCCTTGGAGAAGATTGCCATGAAGCAGTACACAGCCAATGTGAAGAGGGTGAGGGAGACTGCATGTGTCATGGAGGAAGGGGCACAGACCCATTTTGCCTTGTGACAACCCATGGGACCCTGGGCGGAGTCCTTAACCTTCCCAGGCCTCGTCTTCTTGTCTGTGAAATGGGTATTGTAGTCATGACTGCATCATAGGAGATAACAGATGGGGACGAATGGACCTATAATGGGGGCGCCCTAATCCCTGTCCTAATACGCTGAGATGTTGGGACTCGTGTAGTGAGCTCCATGGACCGAGGGACATTCTGAGGTGCTTTTTCCTGGTTAAATTGTCACTTCAGCTGGGGGTGTAGCTCAGTGTCAGAGTGCTTGCCTAGCATGCATGAGGCCCTGGGTTCCATCCCTACAACTGCAAAATAATAATTAATAATTAATAATAATTACTGTTAGGTTTAAAGCCCTCAGAGCCATCATTGGGGAGCAGCCTATTCCCGTAATAAAATAGGCAAAGTTAACTTCAGTAACCATTTTACCTACCTTGTTACCAGCGTAACACCGAGCTGTTCTCAGTGTTCCCTCCACGCTGTGGTGAAATCTGTGCGCATTTGACACTCACAGCCTTCTCCATTCATACTGGCCACCTCGTGGCCGCTCCGTACCTGCCCCAGGCTGGGATCTGAGCCACCCTGCGGAGCTGTCTGGCAGTGATGCATCTCGGTTCTGTCTTGGTTCCAGGGCAAGGAGGTGATGGAGCATTACCTGAGCGAGCTCATCTCCCAGGGCACCTGCCACGTTCCCCGCTGGACGCCTGTCCCTGTCCAGGAGGAGGCTTTCCGCAGCGCCCTGGAGGCCAGCAGCACCAGCAGGGAGCCAGGTCCTGCTCCAGAGGTGGTTGGTGCTGAGGGTAGGTGGCTGCAGCTGGTGGCGGCCAGGTCTGCACCTTTGCTCCACAGTGCTAGGAAGCCTGTGGTGTCCTCTCGTTCCCGGAGAGGAGGAGAAAGCTGCTGCAGACCCCTGGGCAGGGACCAGGTCTGGACCCCTCTCCTCTGCTTCCTCCCTCTGCTGGCTGCTTCTTTTCTGGCCTGAGCCCAGAGCTGGTTTATTTCTAGATCAGAAATTGACCTCAGATACCTTTTGCCCTGGCCTTATTACCATTTCAAATGATATGATCATGGTAGGAAAAAGTCAAAGTCCTTGGAGGGCGTAAAGTAGGAAGTAAGGAGCTGGAGCTGTGGCTCAGGTGGTAGAGTTCCTGCCTAGCAAGTGTAAAGCCCTGAGTTCAAATCCCAGTATTGAAGAAAAGAAGCAAAAAGAGATTGATCTCATGTTTAGAGACTGTTTTCCTTTCTTTGGTGAATCCCTGTCCCTGTCCTTCATCCTTCTTTCTGTATTTGCCCATCAGTTTCTTCTTGGTTTGTAACAGCTCTTTGCATATTAAGGCAATTAGCTCTTTGACACAGTTTAGTCTTTTCTTGCCCTGGAAAATGCTCTCAATATATTGCTAAACGCAAACAAATAATTCCCAAAGGTGGGACACAAACCTGCACGGGCTCTAAGCCCAGTTAGCCATCACGTGACGTCCTCATGTTGACACTGCTTTTCCTTTTGGGCCCCCGGTGTGTAGAGACCTGCCTGTCCTGCTTTGGTGACTGCACAACCCATAATGCTACCTCTGGCACCGTGCGTAGGGAGCACACAATTCATTCATGCAGCAAGTATTTATTCTGCACCGACTGTGTGCACTGGCCGGCAACTGTTGCACATGCACTTTGTTTGTGATTGCAGTGCCCTCGTGTCACCGTGTGTCCTGGGTGTGGCGTCTGTGGCTTCCTGCCCTGTCCCTTTCCCATTCTGCTCAGATTTTTCCTCCCTTCTTGCCTGTGCTGCGCATCAGCAGTGCTGGCACTCGGGGTGGCGAGCCGGGAGGCGCAGCCCGGCCCCTCTCCCTGTTCTGAATCACTGGGCCTTTGTGCTTTCCCACCTGCCCGCGCCTGCCTCCCTGGTGTTTTCCTCCTGCCCCCTCCTCCTCTCCAGACGCTCCACCTCTGACCACATGTACATACCCTTGCCTCAGTTTACCTAGATGTCTTCTGGCCTCTGCCTGGGTTGGAGGACCATGAGCACTGCTGCTTGCTGGTCTTTAGTCAGCAACTCATCTGCCCACAAAGAAGTTGCTCTGCCTGCCAGTGCTACTGCTCTGTGTCACTTCTCCACCCTGGCTGAGATGCCAGGATGCTGTGGGTGCCATCATCTCTTGCCTTAATGCTTAAGGGTCCAGGTCAACCTGGCCTCTGCAGGCTGGTGACACACTGACCCCAAAAAGCCTGACTGTATGAGCCAGGATTGCATAGTGGGGAGAGTGCATGCAGTTCCCAGGCCCCAAGTAGATGGCATGGCTGTGTTGTGGGGCCACGGTTCTGTCTCCCCTAAGCCTCACATCCCAAAAGAAGGCTGAGGAGGGGCTGGCAGAGTGGCTCACATGACAGAGTGCCTGCCTTGCAAGCACTAACCCCAATACCACAAAAAAGAAAAAAAAAAAGAAGGGGACTGGTAACGATGAACTCCCTCCCCCTTTGTTTGAGACAGGATCTCACTGTGTAGTCCAGGCTGGCCTTGAATTTGAGATCCTCCTGCTCAGCCTCCCAAATGCTGGGATTACAGGTGTGAACCACCATGCCTGACTGGACACCTCCTTTATGCTGGGCACAGTCTGCATTGCTCATTTGTGAGACTCCACCTTCCAAGCCTCCTGTTCAGTCTTCATTGCAGGGGGGACAACAGTGACCCTGCCTCCCAGAGCGTTAGGAGAACACAGAGTCCGGTCCTGTTGTGAGCACGCCGTGAAGGGTAGCTCATATTGTTAGTGTCTTAGATCATTCCAGAAGCAGGGAACTTCTCTTTGAGGGTCAAAGAGAAATCATTTCCCACAGTGAAGTGGCAGTGGTGTTGTCTGGGGACATGGGCCACAGCCCAGCTCAGAACTGAGATAGCCAGTGAACAAGTGAGGGTAACAGAAGGTGCTTGAAATGTCCCTTCTCCCCCAAGGGGACAAGCTGGACGCGGACTACATCGAGAGGTGCCTGGGCCATCTCACCCCCATGCAGGAGAGCTGCCTGGTCCAGCTCCGGCACTGGCTTCAGGAGACCCACAAAGGCAAGGTGAGTGCAGGGGTCCAAGGAGAGGAGTCAGCGAGGCACTGGAGAGGTAGCTAAATGAGCTCCTGCAGTGATTTTATTTGACTTTATTTTTGCGGCACTGGGAATCCAACCCAGCACCACACACACAGAACACAAGCTCTCTATCTCTTGAGCCACGCCCCCAGCCCTTTTGTTTTTCTTTTGTTTTTGAGACTAACTTTGTCTGGGCTGGCCTCAAACTCAAGACCCTCCTACCTGGCTGGGCACTGGTGGCTCACACCTGTAATCCTAGCTACTCAGGAGGCAGAGATCAGGAGGACTGAAGTTCAAAGTCAGCCAGGGCAAATAGTTCAGGAGACCCTATGTGAAAAAAAAAATACATCACAAACACAAAAAAAGGGCTGGTGGTGTGGATCAAGGCATAGGCTCTGAGTTCAAACTCCAGTAACACACACACACAAAAAGATCTTCCTACTTCAGCCTCCCAGTTAGCTGGAATTACAGGTGTGCTCCACCACACCTGGCTGCATTTGCTTTTCTTCTGTCCTGTGTATCTATAACACATGCTGAGGGCATTTCTGTGTCGGGGTTTTCACCCTGACACTAGGGACATTTGCTTGCTCTCTCTGTTGGGGTCCTTTGTTTCTTTTTAAAAATCTAACATTCAGTACTTGTGGTTTGCCCTGGTCTCCTTGCCTTTCTGCCACCACCTCCCCCTGCAGTCAGGCACCTAATATTTTGTTTCAGGTTCATGGAGCCACAGGGAAGTGCTGGCTGTGTCTAATCCTCCATCTTTTTCTTCCTTCACACTTGTGACATTTGGGGCTGGGCCATTCTTTATAGTGGGGGAGGGGGAGCTGTCCTGTGTATTGTGGGTCACTGGACAGCATCCCCGGTTTCCAACTAACTAGATACCAGCAGCTCCCCCACCCATGATAACCCCAGATGGCCCCAGTGTCCCCTGGGGACACAGCTGACAGTCACTGCTGTATGGCTCCATGTTCACGGGACCATGTGTGCTCTCCTGTACTCTGGGACCTTATGAGGACAATTTCTGTCTGCGGGTTTCGCCTTTAGACCCTAAGCTGGGAGCATGGATATGCGCCCTGCACCGAGGCCCCAGTGTGAACTTTGCCTGCAGCTCTACCCGCACTGTGGGGCAGGCGAGGGAGAGACAACTGTCTGCTCTTTTCTGCATTTGCAGAATGGGGACCATGGCAGTAGGCAACTTCCAGAGGAAGTCACGAAGGCTGAGCCCCTTAGAACAGCATCTGGCTTGAAGTGAGCTGTTCAGAAAGGGCCCCCTTTATAGGGGCTGGTTTTGCACAAATGACACACTGGGGAGAAAGAAAGAGGGGGAGGGGCTACTCAGGAACGCTGGGTACCGAAATGCATGGTGAGGCCAATTACCACCTGTGCTTGCTCTGCTCTGTGCTCCTGTTCACAGCTCCGGGTTTTGCAGATAGATGGGAGGCTGGTTTCTGTTGTTTTATCTGCTGGGTTGGGGACACCATTCTGTGGCCTTTTCCTGTCTCTTGACTCTCAGATCCCTAAGGATGAGCACATCCTCCGGTTCTTGCGGGCACGAGACTTCCACCTGGACAAGGCCCGGGAGATGCTGTGCCAGTCCCTGAGCTGGCGGAAGCAGCACCAGGTGGACCTTCTGCTGCAGACCTGGCGGCCCCCAGCCGCTCTGCAGGAGTTCTACGCAGGGGGCTGGCACTACCAGGACATAGGTACATCCTCCCTCTTTGCAACGTGCCAGGCACCGAGGTCACTGAATGACCCACCCTGCCCTTGCTGACATGTCAGCTGTCCTTTTGGCTCTTGGGGCATCTGGAGAGGCTTGCAAAGTGTCATCCAGCTACGAAGAAGGGAGAACCAGAATAGACTTTGGGCTAATGCATGTCACAGCTGTGTCAATGCTGTATGCATTTCCTAGGGCTCGGGGGCAGCCAGGGCAAATTACCCCAAACTGGGTGGCTTAAAATTCCAGAAATGTACTGTCCATCCTGGAGGTGAAGTCTGAAATCAAGGTGTCTGTAGTGCTGAGCGCCCCCTGAAAGCTCCAGAGAGAGGCCTTCCAGCCTCTTCCAGGTGCTGGTGGCCCCAGGTGCTCCTTGGCTGTGGCAGGATCACTCTGATTTCTGCCCCTGTTTTTTGTTTTTTTTCTTTTTGGCAGCACTGGGGTTTGAACTCAGGGTCTCATGCTTGCTATGTGGGTGCTCTGCCACTTGAGCCACTCCCCCCAGACCATCATCTCCTCCTTCAAACATTTTAAAAGTGAACTGTTGATTTTGAAACAGTTTTAGGTTAGCAGAAAAGCCAAGATGGTGCAGAGCTTTCTCACACGCCCCCACCCGTGTCTCCTTTGTCATGTTTGCTGAGCGCTCTGTGTTCTGTCTTTCACGAGTGGGGTACGAGGGGGGTACCAGCCCCTTCTGCAAGCAGGCAGGGATGGACTGGGCCTGGGAGAGCCCCAGGCTGACTTCTCTGAGGACGTGAAGTTCTCGTGGGTGGCACCTGTCATCCTTCTAAACACAGTGTCCCTTCTGTTTGTTCCACCCGCCCACCTGCAAAGATGGTCGTCCCCTTTACATCCTGCGTCTGGGCCAGATGGACACAAAGGGCCTGATGAAGGCGGTGGGGGAAGAGGCACTGCTGCAACATGTGAGTCAGGGGCCTCCCTGGAGCCGGGAGCTGGAGTGGGGAGGCTCAGCAGATCGGGCAGCATGGCCTGTCCCTTCCAGGTTCTTTCTGTCAACGAGGAAGGACAGAAGAGGTGCGAAGGGAACACAAGGCAGTTTGGTCGTCCCATCAGGTAAGAACGTGGGCTGGGAACAGAGTCCCCTTGATTCCTGACCACTAGTGTATAATGTGCATGGACGCCACGCCAGGGGGCTGGCCACTTAATTCTCACGGCGATCTGGTGAGGAAGGGGACACTGAGTCCCCATCTAGGGATGGGGCCCTGCCTGGTGCTGCACAGCCTTCTTCCCTTGGCTCTCTGAGACCTGACCTGCGCTCTACCTTGACCTGTCTCCTGGGCAGACCGATCTTCCACGTGTCTTGGCCCAGCCAGTGACCCTCTGTCTCCCTCCAAATATTTCCATTCCAGCCCGACCGTGGCATCACCCCCATAAGAATGGGTCTTTCTGGGCTGCAGCTGCCCTCCTTTGTAGAGTTGGGTTTTAAGAGGATTATCAAAAATGACAACTGTTGAGCTGGATGGTGTCTCACCCTTGTAATCCCAGCACACGGGAGGCTGAGGCAGGAGGGTCTGAGTGCCAAGCCAGCCTGGGCTCCAGAGCAGGATCTGAGAAAGGCCCCTCTGCACCCAGCCCTGCCCCCCCCAAACCTCCCTGTCCACCCCAAGTCCCCAGGGAGGGTGATGGGGGCCCTGGAAGGTGGCAGAGCCAGGTGGAGCACAGGAGCCCATGTCACTACAGCTCCTGGACCTGCTTGCTGGATCTGGAGGGCCTCAACATGCGGCACCTGTGGCGGCCGGGCGTGAAGGCCCTCCTTCACATGATCGAGGTGGTGGAGGGCAATTACCCGGAGACCCTGGGCCGCCTGCTCATCGTGCGGGCGCCCCGAGTCTTCCCTGTGCTCTGGACGCTGGTAACAGTGGGAGCCTGGGCGTGGCCATGTGTGGGTGACTCCTTTACAGGGGATTTCCAGTACAGGCAAACCCACAGATTCATGGGGGGAGGAGAAGTACGTGTGGGGTTTCCTTTTGGGGTGATGAAAATATCTTGAGACTGGCTTGAGGGGATGGTTGCATGACATCCTGCATGTGCTAAAAAAGCCAGCGTGGTGGCACACGCCTGTAGCTCCAGCTACTCAGGAGGCAGGAGTCTGAGGCCATGTTGGGCTGAGGGCGTGGCTCCAGTGGTAGAGCGCGGGCCCAGCACTCTTGAAGCTCTGGGTTCAAGCCCCAGTTCAGGGGTGGGGGATGGGGTGGGGAAGCGCCACTGGATGGTGCACTGTAAAATGATCCGTTCTGTGTCATCTGAGTCCCTTCTCAATAATGCCTGCATCCCGCCTCGCCTCCCCCACTCGGCCCCAGATCAGCCCCTTCATCCACGAGAACACCAGGCGCAAGTTCCTTATCTACAGCGGCAGCAATTACCAGGGCCCCGGCGGCTTGGTGGATTACCTGGACAAGGATGTCATCCCCGACTTCCTGGGAGGAGAGAGTGTGGTGAGGTTGCTGGTCCCCAGCCCCGGGAGGGACAGGCAGGGGTGGGAGTCAGGACTCCTGGGGTTGTGAGAGCTGACAAGGAAAGGTCCCTTTGGGTGCCCCCTACATGCTTTCACTTGGGATGGGCATGCTGGGCCAGGTGCCAGTGGCTCACACCTGTAATCCTAGCTATTTGTTGGAGGCTGAGATTGGGAGGATCGTGGTTCGAGGCCAGCCTGAGCAAATATTCATGAGACCCCCATCTCCAGAATAACCAGAACAAAATGGCCTGGAGGTGTGGCTCAAGCATGAAGCCTTGAATTCAAACTGTAGTCTCACCAAAACAAAACAACAACAACAAAGAAACCCCAAAAAAACAACTGCTGCACCAAGAGAGGTGACATCTTTTGCGGCGGGGCCTTACTTTGGTTCTTTTGAACATAGCGAGTGAGTGGGGCAGGTGGTGCACATTTGTAATCCCAGCATTCCAGAGGTGGAGGCAGGAGGATCAAGAGTTCCCAGCCAAGACTGGGGAAGGAGCTGGGTGGTATAGCGCTGGCCTGGCATGCTCAATGCCCTGGGTCTGCACTGGAAAAAAAAAAAGAGTTCCATGCCAAGCCAGGCACCCACGTACATGGTTCATGCCTGTAATCCCAGCTACTTGGGAGGTTGAGATTGGGAGGATCATAGTTTTAGGCCCGCCTGGGGAAATCGTCCACAAGACCCCATCTTAACCAATAACTGGTCACAGTGGTCATGCCTGCCATCCCAGTGACGGTGAAAAATGAAAACTAGAAGGATCACAACAGTGCAGGTCAGCCTGGACCTGATCTGCAAAATAACCAGAGTGAAAGGGGTTGGGGTATGGCTCAAGTGGTAGAGCAGCTGCCTAACAAGGGCAAAGCCCTGAGTTCAAATCTCAGTACCACAAAAGAATTCTAGGCTACAAACTGTCACAAAAGATCCAAACATAAGCAATCAAATAAAACACAAAAGCAAAAACCATAGCAAGGGAAACAGAATTTTCCAGAGACTCGGCCAGGCAGAGGCTGACCCACCCTGTGATCCTCCTGTGATCCTACACAGCCCTCCTGGTGCCTTCTGTGGCAGGGAACCAGCATTCCCAAAGGGACTCAGCCCAACCACAGCTCATCAGGCCGCTGCTTCAATGGGAGGCGGCGTCCAGACCACTTTCTTGCCTCCTAGCAGGGTGACCCTGCGTCCCTGGTCTGTCATCCCAGGGCATCAGTGGGTGATCTCTTCCCAGTAGAAATCCTGAGCAGCAAGCTCAGAGGCTCCACAGGCCCTCAGCCAGGCTCGCCTGGTCTCTCTGCCCACGATACATACGCAGGATTTATTTGAGGGGAACAGGGCTGGGACCCTGAGAGCGACTTCCTGAGGGACAGTGGGCAGCCATGTTGCTGTTTTAATCCTTGTTTTTTTTGCAAAGTGAACTGGGAAAATCATTTGGTGGTGGCAGAGGGTCTATCAAGGCCCAGCCACCCAGGGCAGCTTTGGTTTGGGAAATCTACTAGGATTGCCTAGTCCCTTGACTGCTCTGACCCCACTGCTGAGGGTGGCAATTGTGGGGTACAGGTGTGGAAGAGGCCCTGGAGCCTAGCCAGCACTATAATAGAATGGGCGCAGGGGTCCGACACGCCTGATTTTGTGCTCTGGTTCTGCCAGTCTCGGCTGTGTGACCTCAAGCAAGTGGCTTAACCTTTCTGAGCTCCGTTGCCCTCTTCTGCAAAATGGGCAGAATAACAAGTCCTGCCTCGTTGCTGCTTCTAGGGTTTAAACAGGCCATGGGAGCCACTGTGCAGCTCACTAGGGATCACACCATTCTGTTTCAGGGCTCACAGGACACCAGCTAAGCTAAGCTTGACAACCCTGACTTGCCACCCTCTTTGCCTTTGACTCCCCCAGTGTAATGTCCCTGAAGGAGGGCTGGTCCCCAAGTCCCTCTACCTGACAGAGGAGGAGCAGGAGCAGGCAGACCAGCTGCAGCAGTGGAGTGAGACCTACCACTCGGCCAGTGTGCTCCGAGGGGCCCCCCACGAGGTGCTGGCCTGGCCTGGGGGACCCTGGCTGGAGTGGGGACTTGGGTGGGTGTGGGAGGAACCCCATAGCGGGAGCTCTGGCTATAGTGATGGCCACAGGACAGCCCTGCCCAGAGGTAAGCAGCCGGCTCTCTGTGCCCTCACGTCTTGGGCACCCATTGGTCATCCCAGGGTGACCCGGGTCTTTCAGAGAGAGGTGGGTCCATTTGTCTAGAGCAATATTGGGAGGGGACCACAGGAGCCTTAGCAGCCCACCTTGCCCACAGGGAGCCGAGTGTGTGGCCCAAGGAGGGAGGCCCTGGTGGGCGCCCACAGTATGTCCTCAACGTCCCCTAGCCTCTGGGACTCTCCCACCTCTCCTGTCCCCACGCAGGTGGCGGTGGAGATTCTGGAAGGCGAGTCAGTCATCACCTGGGACTTTGACATCCTGCGAGGTGACGTGGTATTCAGCCTGTACCATGCCAAGCAGGCGCCCAAGCCAGGGCCCCGGGAGCCTGGAGCCAGGGCCAGCGGGCAGCTGATCGACAAAGGCTGGGTCTTGGGCACGGACTACAGCCGCGTGGAGGCGCCCCTCGTCTGCCGGGAAGGGCAGAGCATCCAGGTGAGCAAAGGGTCCCTGCAAAACGGCAGGGGCGACAGACACACAGTGTCTATGGCACAGGTGCTCAGCTGCCACAGGGCAGCCAGGGTGGCAGGGAGACAGGAAGAGGCTCTGTGCTGACGGGCTCATGGTGCTGGGGGAGAGCGCTGGGCCAGGAGCCTCAGTTTCCCCACCGCAGTGAGGGGAATCGTAACAGATCTATCGTAACAGCTTCCTGCTGCTTGGGCAAAGTACCACCTACTGGTGGCTTTTTGTCTTGAAGTTGAGGAGGTCGCAAAGCCAAGCTCAGGGTGTCACAGTGCCAGGCTCCTGTGGGGCTGGAGGAAGGTCCTTCTTCCTCTCTCCAGCTTCCAGTGCTCCTGACAATGCTTGGCCTTCCTTGGCTTGTGGATGGGCCACTCCAGTCTCTGCCCTGTCCTTGCAGGGCTCTGTCCTCTGTCTGTCTGTCTCTCTTTCTTTGTGATACTGGGGATTAACCAAGGGCCTCACACTGCTAGGCAGTTGCTCTACCACTTGAGCCATGCCCTCCGCCCTTTTGATTTTGAAAGAGGGCCTCTGCTAACTTTGCCCACACTGGCCTTGAACTCCAGATCCTCCTGCCCTGCTTTTCAGGTAGCTGGGATTACAGGTGTGCACCACCATGCCCAGTTGTATGTGTTAGTCTCTTCTGTTTCCAATCCCCTCTCTTTCCTTTTACAAGAACACCACTTACTGTGTTTAGGGCCAACCCTAAATCCTTAACTGCAAAAATCCTATTTCCAAATAAGGTCACATTCTGAAGTTACAGGTAGACGTGAGTTTTGGGGGACACCATGCAGCCCTACCACACCAACTTATGCAGGAAAGAGAGGGTATTGGGATTTGAAGTCTGAGTTCCCTGCTTCATTACAGAAGATGGCCGTGGGGGTAGCTGGGTGTGGAGCGAGTGAGAGGCAATTTGCCCCATGGAAGGAATGGCAGCAACTAAGTTGGAGAAGGCTTAGGAAAGGGGCAGAGTGAGTTGTGGAGGGACGGAAGATTTGGATGGGAGGGGAGGTGCTAAGGTCCTGGGGGTGGTGGGCAGATCTGGGACCCCAGCTTCAGGATGTCCTAGGACACTTGTCACAGATGCATGTTGCCCCCATCCCAGGCCGGGTGACTCCAAAGCCTGGGGCAAGAGACCTGGAATCCACCGCCTCCCCTCCCCCCGTTATTCTGGTGTCAGTCTGGTATCGGCAGTGATGGAAAAACTGAAGGTCAAGGGCAGAACTTGAATGTGTGATGGACATGAGCCACCCCTGCTGCCCCTGCGTTCTCCATGAGGCCAGAGTTGCGCTCACACAGACCCCCCCCCACATGGAGGGAGCAGAGCCCACCCAAGGCTCTGTGGAGCATGACGTTTGGCTCATCTCAACCGGCCCCCCACAGTGCCATTGAACACCCCAACACTTCCCACACCACCGACCTTCCACAAACTCCCCCACCCCCGCCTGCCCCCGATCCTCTTCTGAACCCCTCGGGCTGCAGACCCCACTCAGCAGCAGATGCCCCCCAAGCCCCGCCTCTGCCCTCTGCACCCCACCCAGGCCTCACCTTACCCAGGTTAAGTGGGAGGTCCTAGCCCTTGGGACATGGTGACCACAGCAAGGACAGCTTCAGAGTTTCCCCCAGGAGAGTCTGCTGCGGGAACTGGAGAGGGGCATTGAGGGGAAAGAGCCCTGTTTTCCAGGCCTGGCCACAAGAAGCACACTGAAGCCTCACCCCCACTCTGTCCCGAGACCAGGCCTCAGGCACAGCTGTTGTGTTCCAGGGCTCCCATGTGACGCGGTGGCCGGGCGTCTACCTGCTCCAGTGGCAGATGTACAGCTCCCCAGGCAGTGTGGCCTGCAGCCTCCCCGGTGTGGACGACGTCCTGACGGTGCTGCACAGCCCCGGCCCCAGGTGCAAACTCCTCTACTACTGCGAGGTGCTGGCGTCTGAGGACTTCAGGTGGGCAGACCTCCCACCTCCTGTGATTGTTGACTGACTGCAGTGGGGGGGGGCATCCCACCCTTCTGCTGGGCCAGCTTCTTGGTGGCGGGGAGCTCAGTGTGGGCATTGCTGACTTATGCAGGGACTCAGAGGAGCCCCTTAGAGTGAGAAAGAGAGTAGGGTACTATGCCCTGAGCCCCCCCTTCAGCAGCAGAGGTTTCCCTGCAAGTGCAGCCCTGGTACCAGCTGGGGAGGGGCAGGGGGAAGAGAGCCTGCTGATTGGGCCGCCC